AAAAGATAAAAGATTTTAGGGTTACCTCTTCAGAGGGGGGGATGTTGGAGGGGAGGGAGTGAGCATGGATTTGATCAAAACACCTTATATGCGTGTATGAAATTCTCAATAAAGTTTTTGTAAAAAAAAAAAGAAAAAAAAAGAAACCTTCATCTGAAGTCTAGAGAAGGTCATGTGTAGCTGTGCTTTGGTGCAGGCTCCATCATCGTCACTTACATCCCTGGAGAATTCAAGTTGAAGCAAAGCAGGCCCCTAGTTGCTACCTTAGACAGCTGTCCCTCTGTAAGCTGTATGTAGAGGGCACTCCCTCACCCCCTCAGCAGCTGGGCTCCCCCTGCCTCTCTCTATAGAGCTGGAAGTAATCCCCAAAGTTCCTGACCATTGGAAAGGAAGGACTAATCCTCCCTTTGCCTGTCCTTTGACTGATGGAATTTTTTTAAATTAACTACGTTTCTTAGTATTTACAAAAAACTACAGTGTAAAGAAATATTCAAACAATGATAAACATAATTTGAAATTCAGATTTCCCCTTGTGGAATCACACATGGACACTGCCCATTAAGGACTTATTTTGCATTGAAAATGTGTTATATGTTGAGACAGTGTTCAAAGGGCTTACATGAAGTATATTATGTATAGGAACTCATTAGTGTGTCAGATTTTTTAAATTAAAATTCACAGTTTTTTGGTGCATGTGAGCATGCCTGTGCCACAGCATGCATGTAGAGATCAGAGGACAACTTGAAGGAATTGGTTCTCTCTTTGCCCTTCTTAGGTTTTGGGTTATCAACCTCAAGGCCCCGCCTTTACCTGCTACAGGAGTTTCTCCACCCAATTGTAACACTGCTGTGGGGTTCCTCCCCACCCCCTAGCTCTTCAAGTTGCTGCTTCCTGGGTTTTGTTTTGTGGTGTTGGGGAGCAAACCTAGGGTTTTGGTGCCTGCTGCTAGGTAAGTGCTCTCCCCCTGAGCTACATCCCCAACCCTGCTGCTTCTTTTGAGCACTTTCTTGTACCTTCTAGAGTCCCAGTTTCTTACTCAAGGGCTCCAATGCCCCAAGAAACTCTCCACCCAGTGCTCAAGTCCTCCTTTGTAATGGTCATTCTCACACAGAGTCCAGAAAATCAAGAGTCTTGGAGATTTAGAGTGAATAAATGGAGAAAATGAAAGAG